GACTACCGCCCCCACGATGGGTATGGCACGACTACCGCCCCCACGATGGGTATGACACGACTACCGCCCCCAGGATGGGCATGACACGACTACCACCCCCACGATGGGTATGGCACGACTACCACCCCCACGATGGGTATGACACGACTACCACCCCCACGATGGGTATGGCACGACTACCACCCCCACGATGGGTATGGCACGACTACCGCCCCCACGATGGGTATGGCACGACTACCGCCCCCACGATGGGTATGGCACGACTACCACCCCCACGATGGGTATGGCACGACTACCACCCCCACGATGGGTATGGCACGACTACCACCCCCACGATGGGTATGGCACGACTACCACCCCCACGATGGGTATGGCACGACTACCACCCCCACGATGGGTATGGCACGACTACCGCCCCCAGGACGGGTATGGCACGACTACCGCCCCCAGGACGGGTATGGCACGACTACCGCCCCCAGGATGGGTATGGCACGACTACCGCCCCCAGGACGGGTATGGCACGACTACCGCCCCCAGGACGGGTATGGCACGACTACCGCCCCCAGGACGGGTATGGCACGACTACCACCCCCACGATGGGTATGGCACGACTACCGCCCCCAGGACGGGTATAGCACGACTACCGCCCCCAGGACGGGTATGGCACGACTACCGCCCCCAGGACGGGTATGGCACGACTACCGCCCCAGGACGGGTATGGCACGACTACCGCCCCCAGGACGGGTATGGCACGACTACCACCCCCAGGACGGGTATGGCACGACTACCGCCCCCAGGACGGGTATGGCACGACTACCGCCCCCAGGACGGGTATGGCACGACTACCGCCCCCAGGACGGGTATGGCACGACTACCGCCCCCAGGACGGGTATGGCACGACTACCGCCCCCAGCACGGGTATGGCACGACTACCGCCCCCAGCACGGGTATGGCACGACTACCGCCCCCAGGACGGGTATGGCACGACTACCGCCCCCAGGATGGGTATAGGGATGACTACCGCCCCCAGGATGGGTATGGACGACTACCGCCCCAAGGGGAAAGGGTGGTATGGCAGACTACCGCCCCCAGGATGGGTATGGCACGACTACCGCCCCCAGGATGGGTATGGCATGACTACCGCCCCCAGGATGGGTATGGCATGACTACCGCCCCCAGGATGGGTATGGCATGACTACTGCCCCCAGGATGGGTATGGCATGACTACCGCCCCCAGGATGGGTATGGCATGACTACCTGCCCCCAGGATGGGTATGGCATGACTACTGCCCCCAGGATGGGTATGGCATGACTACCGCCCCCAGGATGGGTATGGCATGACTACCGCCCCCAGGATGGGTATGGCATGACTACCGCCCCCAGGATGGGTATGGCATGACTACCGCCCCCAGGATGGGTATGGCATACTACCCCCAGGATGGTAGCATGACTACGCCCCCAGGATGGGTATGGCATGACTACCGCCCCCAGGATGGGTATGGCATGACTACCGCCCCAGGATGGGTATGGCATGACTACCGCCCCCAGGATGGGTATGGCATGACTACCGCCCCCAGGATGGGTATGGCATGACTACCGCCCCCAGGATGGGTATGGCATGACTACCGCCCCCAGGATGGGTATGGCATGACTACCGCCCCCAGGATGGGTATGGCATGACTACCGCCCCCAGGATGGGTATGGCATGACTACCGCCCCCAGGATGGGTTATGGCATGACTACCGCCCCCAGGATGGGTATGGCATGACTACCGCCCCCAGGATGGGTATGGCATGACTACCGCCCCCAGGATGGTATGGCATGACTACCGCCCCCAGGATGGGTATGGCATGACTACCGCCCCCAGGATGGGTATGGCATGACTACCGCCCCCAGGATGGGTTTTGGCATGACTACCGCCCCCAGGATGGGTATGGCATGACTACCGCCCCCAGGATGGGTATGGCATGACTACCGCCCCCAGGATGGGTATGGCATGACTACCGCCCCCAGGATGGGTATGGCATGACTACCGCCCCCAGGATGGGTATGGCATGACTACCGCCCCCAGGATGGTATGGCATGACTACCGCCCCCAGGATGGGTATGGCATGACTACCGCCCCCAGGATGGGTATGGCAATGACTACCGCCCCCAGGATGGGTATGGCATGACTACCGCCCCCAGGATGGGTATGGCATGACTACCGCCCCCAGGATGGGTATGGCATGACTACCGCCCCCAGGATGGGTATGGCATGACTACCGCCCCCAGGATGGGTATGGTATGACTACCGCCCCCAGGATGGGTATGGCATGACCACCGCCCCCAGGATGGGTATGGCGTTATGATGATGCTGACAAAGCTAGACGACCAGAAGCAACTACCTTCCCGGGAACAATTAACTAAGCAAAAACAAACTGAAAATAGAAATTAAACTTTGTTCAGAAGTTGTTTATAACGATCAACGACTGAGTGAAACGCAGTCTTAGTTTACATTCCCAGTCTGTTGGCTGCGTAACAAACATCGAAAAACAAAACAAAAAAGAACATAGAGATAGTCAGGGGATTATTTCTTCATCTAGTTAAGCAATCACACACACACTACTCACCTGATAACTTTCACCAGGTGACCCTCGCCTGCTGCTGCTGCTGCTACTCCATTCATAAGTTAACACAGGTGTTGATAAATGAGACGTGTGTGGTGGTGGGGGGGGGAGTTAATACATCGACTCCAGGCTGAGGGACTGATTACTTCAAACTGCTCCTCATCCTCAACCTTTTTCTGCATTGGACTGAAAGAGCCACTGTGTGGCGAAACGTTTCCGAAATAAAGATATCCAATTGCTGCACAACTGTCTCAGTTATCAATTTGTCGGTTTTGAAACCGTTTATTTCACAACACCGGTGTCACCTGCGGTGGTCAGGTAACACCGGTGTCACCTGCGGTGGTCAGGTAACACCGGTATACTCTGTTTTTTACATCCATTCAGTAGTGTAATTTCTTACTTGTTATTCACAACTATCTTTCCTATCTTTATCCCAAATTTATCTCCACCATCTTCACCATTTAAAAGTAATCACATTTACTATTTTAAAGAGACATTACCCATCTTTACTATTTAGTTGCATCTTCCCTACCTTCAGCAATCAAACTTCAGGTTCTGCACGTGATCAACATAAACAACCTGCCACGTATTATGAGAGAAACCCCTCCATTTATTTCTAAAATCAACGAGATATACGATGCATAATTCCTACGCATTTCGCGCAGTCATTGTATGTCTACCGTCCTCCTTCCTCCATTATCCTCCCTCCCCTCCTTCCATCCCCCGTTTTCTCTCTCTATCACTCTCTCTCGCGTGTATCATAACCGATTATAAGTACAGCTACCCTGGCCTGGGCTGGCTGCTGTCGTCGTTGGGTTAAGATAATTCTAGGGCAGCAGGTTACCCCTATGTCTCCGAATGCCTGGCACGAGTGCAGGCATAATGTACGAGTGTTGAGTGCCAGACACAAGTGTACGATGGTTGAGTACCTGGCCTGAGCACAAGCTTGAGTACCTGGCATGAGTACAAGCTTGAGTACCTGACACGAGTGTAAACACGGGTGCTGCCAGTTACAAGAGGCAAATAAGACTTAAGAAATCGTAATGACACGATTGCAAATAAACCATACGGGCTGGAGTTTTGAGACTCTATGACCGCGGGTTCAATCCCGGCCGGGGGTATGGTTTAAGAGGCAAATAATTTCAGTGCAAGTCAAGAACTACATTCTACACTACTAAATGAATGAATGAAATCAAGATATAAAGAATAAATCTTGGAAGGGGTTCAGGGAAAACTCTCATCTCATGAAATATACTGAATGAAGGAACCTCCTCGTCAAGTAGCAAGAACAGTGTTAACCAGGAACAAGTAGCAAGAACAGCGTTAACCAGGAACTACCATAGACCTTGTAGTCATAATCAGGAGCAGCCAAGAGCCAGCCACCTTGACAATGAGACCTTGTGGGTAGGGTATGAGCTTATCAGGCAGAGCCAGATTCAGGTGGGTGGATCCACATATGTGGGGCGAGTACAAGCAAACATTGAAGAATTATAGACGATACCGCTATGCTTCCTAGAGTGTGAGTGTGTGTGTGTGTGTGTGTGTGTGTGTGTGTGTGTGTGTGTGTGTGTGTTCAATTCATCTCTCTTATCGCTTATTTTCCTATTCTTGCTTTTCAACTCTTCTTTTTTCCCTTATCATGACCTCTTTTCTCCACTCTATTGTTTTATATTACAGTATTTATGCTGCGTCTCCCTCACTCTATGTATTTTCAATTCTCTCTCATTCCTTCTTTAAGGTGACAAGAGAATTATCTTCTTAAACCACCAAACCTTCATTTACACCTCCCTTGAAACACACAAACATAAATAAAAACACTACTTAAGCTTAAATAAGCGCTCTGAGTTCATACGAGTGCTAAGTCAAGTAAGCCTCCACGAAGCATTAACAAGCTTCCCAATGAATGACATGTTGCACACGAAGATTATATTAAGACAACGTTTCGCTCTGTTAGAACTTGGTCAGGTATGCCTTGATAAACTACTACACAGCGAAACGTTGACGCAACAGATGTGATCTGCAACATGTCTTTCTCACTACCGTCGGCAGCACAACATTTGGATCAAAGATTCCCATTGGCTGCCTCCCAATTTAACCTGGTATAGCTAGCTTAACGCAGTATAAAAATTAGCCGAGTTTAAAGGCTAACTAATGCAGCTTCAAAAGTTTCCTTCCAGAAGACCTGGAGTTATTATCGCCTTCTGTTTCCTTCCAGAAGTGCTGGAATTATCACCACTTTCAAATTACCATCTCTCAAACTGACCTGTCTCAACTGGAAAAGGTGACCTCAGGCGACTTAGTGTAGGTCCTGAGAAAGGAGTGTAATTTGACACAAGTACTCAAATGACGTAAGGACCTTGATACAGGTAGATGAGTGACGTTAGTACTGACCTTGACGTAGGTCTTCTCGGTGTCGACCAACTCGAGGATGACCTTCTTGAGTCTCTCGCCATCGCTGAGCTGACGGGATGGCGTCAACTGTGACTGACTCTGTGTGGAGGTGATGGAACCAGTGGGACTCGACCGTCGCTCCACCGGTGACCGACAACAACCACTCAGGTCAGAGCTCTGTCCAAGAATAAACACGGTAACCATCAGTCATATATATCAATGCATGCAAAACAACCACAATTAAATATATTAATCGCGAACAAGCGATACAAGATGCAAAACAACCACGGGGGGATCTGAATGACAGCACTAGGTCCTTCGTGTTGCAAATAACACATCAGGAACTTGCAATGTTGCAGAAATGAGTAGGAAGTCCAAGTAGTTTCGTTCAGGGAATGATAGTAGCTCAACCCTGTGATCGTTTTGCATCTTCTATCGATTGTTCGCGATTATTGCATACCATATGTATGTATATACCAGTGTATGTATCTAATGCTAAGCAATAACTTATCTAGAGACAGAAACTTGGAAAATAAACTTGGTCTGTATAATTCGACCCCAACTTAAGTCCTCTGCTGAAGAGGACTTTATTATCCAAGTTCGTCTTCACGTGAGTTATTACTTAGCATCGACAAATATTCATTAAATTCATGTTGGTTATGCATATGTTGCTAAATTTATACGAAGCGGTAAACCGTGTTGGGCTATCAGTACACGGGGTACTGAAGGCTCGATTCACTGTCCCCTAATGGCCAGACAAGACATTGAACACTACTACTACTACTACTACTACTTAGGTTATTAAGAATATGTGAATTTAATTCCATAATTTTTCAAGGGTGGAAAGGTAAGCCAGTGGAAGGCCTAGTCAGATGACCCGCCATTGGCGCTTTTGGTCATCATATGATTAAGACCCGCGTCAGGAAACATCTGTCCTCTTTCCTGACAAACCTTACCTAACCTACTACTATTAACATACGTCAGATATTTTGTAAAGAAATCACGCTAATTGACTAGTTTAACCTATTCGGCACTAATATATATATATATATATATATATATATATATATATATATATATATATATATATATATATATATTTATTTATATATATCGCCCCCGGGCCCGGGCCCGGTCTCAGACCTGGCTTCCTAAATTATAAGCGAACATTACAAGAACGATGACTATTAAAAATAAAAATTCAGGTAAATGTATACTGAATGTATGATCATTACTGTTACTAGGAAGTGGTGGAACTGTTAGAAAGTATACATCACATGGGGTATGGGAAGGCAGCTCCAGCACCTTGGACTGAGAACTATACTAAATGTAATTAGAGAAGTGCTTCTTAGTACAGCAAAAATGTATATTAACAGCTTTCAGAGACATGGTATTTTGAATGACCAGTGTCTGGTACCCCCCACCCCAGCTTTATTTCTCAGTACCGCCAAAGGGGTACAAGTACCCCTAGTTAAGAACTACTGCTCTAACAATTGTGTAATTATAACAGTGGCTGTTAACCAGGAATACCTGTGTCTTGATGTATGAATAAAGTTGTGATACAAACACTGATCAAGTCAAGCTTCCACGTCTTTGAAAGATATTTTTTCTGTGACAAATTCTCTATTACTAAGTTTAAGTTAGTGTTGTTTGCAGTGTTCTTCTGAAAGCTTCGTAGTCATATATACTCATACAGTGCATGTTGTTTCACTGCTGGCACAGTTTCTTGGATATATTCACACACCTCAACGAGCCGAACACTTCCATACAAAGATCAGTAACAAATATGATCAGTGTCGGGACAAAACTGGTCACCCTCCACTCACAAACTTCCACTTTGAATAAATCACATTTAGAACGGAATATGTGCTAATTTTCCTTCACTGGATGAAGATGCTGGTGCAGGAAAGAAACTGTCCGTCGTAATTGAAGTGATCCATCGTTTGAAGGAATTCAATGTTACCCGGGTTACTGTCACCACGGAGAAGTTTCTGTGGTTTAGGGACGGCAACACGACACGTTTATTTTGATTCTGGATTCCATAGATGACAGTGAGATAATGAATGATGATCTTGTTGAACTGAAGGAATTCTAATGGAATGTGAATAAACGAGGGTAGAAAACGTCTGGTGTGAACAACTCAAAACGTTCCCATAGTTAAAAATAAAAAGTTCTGAAGGTTCTCGTGCCATTTGTCACCACCTATTGTGTGAGACAACTTGATCAGTACTTCTGCACATAAAAACATAGGCAAGAAACCATCTACATGCAAATAATGACACGTGCGTGGGTGTGGGGGGGGGGCTATTTCTAAAACAAGAACCTTGATCCACCATCATCACTAATAAACTCCAACAAAGAACCAATAAATAGACAAAATGTAATTTTCCTGTTCATTCAATTTATTCATAACTGTTGTCATTGATCTACTACACATTTATATTTGTTTTGACTGTAAATATAAAGAAGTTTTCCGAAAAAAAAAATGTTTCAATTTTTTTTTTTTTGACAAGGGATACGGACAATATAAAGAACTGAGGGGGTACAGGCACTTAAAAAAAAAAGTTAAGAAAATCTATATCAGAGCTTTGTACAGATTTATGTTATCTTACCAGTATATGTTCAAGAACAAACTCCCCATGTTCATGAGGCAGGACAACTTCCACGTGTTCATGACACAAGGAAAAAAGCCACGTGTTCATGACACATGAAAAAAGCCACGTGCTCACAACACATGAAAAAAGCCACGTGTTCATGACACATGAAAAAAGCCACGTGCTCACAACACATGAAAAAAGCCACGTGTTCATGACACATGAAAAAAGCCACGTGCTCACAACACATGAAAAAAGCCACGTGTTCATGACACATGAAAAAAGCCACGTGCTCACAACACATGAAAAAAGCCACGTGTTCATGACACATGAAAAAAGCCACGTGTTCATGACACATGAAAAAAGCCACGTGTTCATGACACATGAAAAAAAGCCACGTGCTCACAACACATGAAAAAAGCCACGTGCTCACAACACATGAAAAAAGCCACGTGTTCATGACACATGAAAAAAGCCACGTGTTCATGACATGAAAAAAAGCCACGTGTTCACAACACATGAAAAAAGCCACGTGTTCATGACATGAAAAAAAGCCACGTGTTCACAACACATGAAAAAAGCCACGTGCTCACAACACATGAAAAAAGCCACGTGTTCATGACACATGAAAAAAGCCACGTGTTCATGACACATGAAAAAAAGCCACGTGTTCACAGCACATGAAAAAAGCCACGTGTTCATGACATGAAAAAAAGCCACGTGTTCACAACACATGAAAAAAGCCACGTGTTCACAACACATGAAAAAAGCCACGTGTCCATGACACAGGAAAACTTCCACGTGTCCATGACACAGGAAAACTTCCACGTGTCCATGACACAGGAAAAATCCAGCTGTTAACGGTGCTTTTTTGTATCATGATCAAAATAATATACACAATCAGATATATACAAGGTACATATACAAAAATAGTGTCATACAATTTTTGAGGTCATGATTGAATAACCATAAATTACAGGAGCAAGTGGAATAAAGGAGCGGCGTAGGAGGTGTCAGGAGAGATGCATGGAAGGGTGAGAATGCAAGAGTAGCAGCAGGAAGGGGGCAGTAGGGGGTGTGACAAAATAAAGGTCATTCACAATAAGGTAATGAGACTGTCTTCCCTCAAGAGACTCACACAGGATACACTAATAACCATCATGGCACCTACACACACTTAACACTTGTTTCGCTCCAATTGTTTAGCTCAACGCCTCCACCATACTAAAGGTCATGCATGAACACGCAATGCTGGCACACTGATAAGCCCCTGTCAAGACAGGGGTAATAATATTTATTTCTACAAGTACATGATACAACTTATACAGACCATAGCTGACATCAATGACACACTTTACATAAAGTCCCTGGTTATGCAGAACATTTCGGGCAAATTAACCTAATTTTGTCCCGCAGGATGCGACCCACACCAGTTGGCTAACACTCCAGGTACTTACTGCTAGGTGAACAAGGACAGCAGGTGTCTTAAGGAAACACCAATGTTTCCATCCGTACCGGGGATCGAACCACGGACCTCAATATGTGAGCTGAGTGCGCTACCAACCGATAGGTAACCCACGTGGACACATTTTTCAAACCAGGTTATCATGACACCCTACATGTTACCTTCAAAACAACAGCTTTTCTTCCTTGTGAACAATTCCCTCGCCAGGATTACTTAACGACGTAATAACTCCTGTGTTGAGGCCACAAGATAAGAAGAACCATGACCTCAATACACCCTCGTTATCTTAGTCTGCCAGCACTATTTAAAGTGGGTTAGAAGTGCTGTGTCGCTGGCAGGGCAAGGAAAGTGCTTTTCATCTAAGCATCAAACAGGATTTTTATTATTTCCCAGCCACTGTTTGACCTCCTACTGTGTTTAGCGTTTTCTCGCAACAAAATATTCGTCTGCCAACACAATTAGAGAAAATTTATGGCACTCAAATGTATAAAAGTGGAAAATAAGAATATTTCCCCAGTTCCTCTATGGGATACCCTGCATGCTAGTACTGCTCACTAACTAATTTTCACACACTAGGATGTGTAAAAGGGACCATATGTGGAAAATTAAAATCAAAATAGAGTGGTTGGAACAATTTACAAATAACTCACTTTAGAGGATTTTTTTTTTAGACATTTCGAATAATGGTCCATCAATGTGGTCCATTATTAAGTCACGACTGTTGTGATTTGATAATTTTAAAGGATGGGCCGAAACATCGTCTCACTCTCCTTCTCAAAGTGGCCTTCCTTGAACCTGCTTCTAAATTTTCACCCACTTGTGTGTGAAAAATTGTTACACCCTGCTTAGTCCTCCCACCAGTGTAATTATTCTGTTTCGTTAGACAAAGTGGGGGAATGTGTGTATTCTCCCAATTAAACACTGTGAGGGGATTGTAGATGAATGGTTCAAAGAACCGACACGTTGTTAAATTAGACACATGTGATTACCTCATTCTCCTCCTGTTCTTCAAGTTTATCCTTCGTATGGACTGATGAAGCCACTGTGTGGCGAAACGTTTCCTCAATAAAGATACCCAAGAGTTGCACATGTGTCTAATTTGACACTGTGAGGGGGTT